TGATTTAGGTCCCGGTGTCTGGTTAGAGTACTTCCTAGGCCATAATGAGCATTGTACTGCAATTGGCATGTGCCCCCCACTGTAAGCATGAGAAGTATGACAGGACACTATACGTGTTTTTGACCTAATGTCTGTATTCCCAGACTGGTGTTTCCTGCACATCATAGTTGAGGGTGCATTCGTGAGGGGCTGAGCAACTACGTGTTTTCGAAGTGGGGAGATATGTGACGATTGTTCTTTGTTGTCATAGGACTGGCAGTGGTAGTCGGAAATGAGTAAACTCCTATGGTATGTGAACTATGTCTAACTTGAGGAACATGACTAAGTTTAGATGACTGTCCATCTGTAGAATGAGCCGGTGACCCTTTTGAAACTTTCGTACCTGTGGGCTTTAGTGTTCCGGATCTAGCGTTTAGATTAGGTTTTTCCGTATTAGTCGGCTTGCGTAATTTGGGCTGTTGGCGACTAGTAGGATTACCTGATAAACTGGATTTCTGTTGAATAGTCTCAACAGTTCTTTTGGTGATCCTTACGGAAATAGGACGTTTATCATATCGCCTTGAATTTACGCCAACGTGGGTGGCCACATGTGTTTGCTGCTTCACAGTAGCCGGGCTACAAGGTTGTGTGCTATATGACTTCTGGAGAGATTCAGAGTATACGAGTGAATTCAGCTTAGACGTTTTCGAGGGTTTGGCATTCGTGTCAGTGTGCAAGGGATGCACGTCAATACTATGATCTGTTGACATTTCTATGTCCGCGATTTCAGTATTTAGAGCTGAGTCTTCAACAGTTACTTGACTACTGTTAGTTTGCGCATGCGATATTATCTGGTGCTCTTGGTCATTAGGCAACACAACGAGGGAAGTATTAACAACGGTTGTCTTATTGGAGTTATCTTCATTTAGTTTACCTGTGCGGCATCGTCTTTGGCAAGGAGTTAAATCAGGTACAATCCTGATATTGGTGTAGGGTGTTGAGGAGCCGAGAATTTTACCAGACTCCAAAAATTTCTCAACTAGGTCAACAGATTTAAATTTGAAGAAAACAGGGCATGGGTGGTTTGCAGATTTCTTACGAAAACGCAGAACCTGGCAGTCAGATAGTGAAATGTTGCACGTCTGTAGACAGACTGCTTTGAGTTTTACAATAGGGACATTGTCTAGTATGTTATATCCTAAGACATTATATGAGGACATCACCCTCTTTACAGCCTCTGCAGTCAAAAAGTCTAGCAGGCGCTCAGATTTGAGAAGTGAACCTAAGCAAATTTCTTGTGACGGATCACAAAGTTGGATGAAAGGAGTGATACTTTCAAATTTATCCTGCAGGTCTGATATGGATTTCTGAATGATCTGTGAATCACTAGTGTTACGGGCTACATTATCAACTAGTTCTTCCATTAAGTTTGGTACTATAACTCTCGGTGTATCGATTGATCTTAGTGCAAATTCGTCGTCAGCACTAATGTTTTTAGTGAGCTGTTGACTATTTGATGCTAGTCTCTTAAGAGTACTAACTCGTTTAATAACTTTGACCATTATGGAGGTAGAGATTATATCAATTTCTCAAAAACTGATAAAAGTGCGTGAAATGCTGTTATATTATCTAAATAGATAAAACACAGTGGCACAGTGGTTAGGACTCTCGCCGACCATGCACATGGTCCGGGGTTCGAACCCCTGCCGGCGCACACCCGATATCTATGGTATGCCTGAATTTGGGCAACCGATATCCATGCTGAAAGTTCCACACTTGTACTGAAAATACGGTGTGGAAATCAAGCTGTAAATCAAAAAAAACAACGATAAACAGGTATGAATGTATAAAATACAAACTAAAAATAAACCAATATCAAACGAGTCAACTGTGGTAATTATAGACCACAAAACTTAGGACTTCTCTATACTTCTTTTGTGATAGATTGCTCTTTATTCACACGAATTTGACTGGATCCAAACAGTTTTCTGGAGGTGATAAACTTGGATATTTAGCTACCGAAGTTGCAACCAATATCAGTTACAATTGTACACTATTCAATTATAGACCACGATATTCCAGAATGGGAAAAATTATTTCCACGTTATTTGCAGAGATTGTGATGTCCTCCATGAAGCGCGCGCGGGAATAGAAAGCAAGTGGAGTGACTGCACCATTCGTCTTCTGCTGTAATACTCCCTCCACTGATTATTGGGAGGCATCGGTGCACAGGTTGAGAGATGCTACAAGGTTGATGTGAGCCAGCATAGAGATTTTGGACAGAAAGATTCATGTGCTTGCGCTGACCACTGGAATTCCTTAGGATCACTACTGAGGTGATCAGTCGAAAGCTGGACGATGGAGGCACACGAAGGAATAAAACGTCGATAGAAATTTAAAATCCCCAGAAATTGTCGGACTTTCTTCAATGAGTCCGGTTGAGGGAAGCTCTTGATTGTATCTATCTTTCCCTTGGTAGGCCTGATGCCATCTGCGGTTGTGTAGTGTTCCAAAAATTGAATAGAAGAGGCGCCGAAAATGCATTTCTTAGGGTTTAAAGCGACACTATACCGTTTAAAACGCTGTAACAAAGTTCTGAGGTGATCCTCATATTCCTCTTTCGACTTGCTAGCAATTAGTACATCATCGATATAAACGAACACAAAATCAAGGCCCTGAGTGACTTGGTCCATGAAGTGCTGAAAGAAGTGTGCAGCTTAATATATATGTAAAACTTTTGCACTGTGGTAGTAAGTAATTCGTTTATTATTAGATGCATCACACAGTGAAACAGTATTATTAACTGGATGACAAGGTTTCAAACAAATTCATTGTTCATAATCATATCAATTGTAATCACACGACTTCGAAACTTGAGTTTTATAGTTTTCTTTGTCTTCTCCTATTTGTCGTAGGGGTAGAAGAATTTTCCCGATATCTGGGACAGCTGTTGAATCATTCTTATTACACGTATTCTACTCAGTTGATTCGATAAACAAAGCTTATCAGTCTCTCCTCCCACCCTGTGACATTAGATTTTAAAACTGTCATCTTATCCCATCCATCCTATTGTATGGTTGTGTGATTGCATGTAGTAGTGTAGCAGAACTATTCTCTAGATTTCTTATCTTGTTCGGGTCAACCAATCTAGGTTTTGCAAGGTTTTTATGTTCAGCTAGTCTGACTTCCCCTGCAATGATTGTCAGGTCAAATACATAGGTCAGAGTAGTATACATCAACCAGCAGATTGAAATTACTTAAGAAATCATCACCTAGTTTGACATGACGAACGTCAGCTACTATGAAAATCCATGTAAAACGATGGCATAAACCAAGATCCAAAATAAGTGATTGTCCACCGTAATTCCGTATGCCAGTTTGGTTAGCTGCTCGAAGTGAAAGTTTGCCAGCTGTGCTAGAAGGCTGCCTGGAGAGCGAAGGGGATATTACACTAACTTCGTCTCCTGTATCTACCAGAAATAATGTGCCTGTAGTTTTATCCCTCACGTAGAAAAGGTGGCTTGAATGATTGCCTGTAACAGCCATCGCCATCACTGCCTGGCTGGGGAGTTTCCCTGAGCCGAGTGCTACTGCTGAAAGTGCTTGAATTTAAACAACGAATACCTCTGTTTCCAAACTTTCTATGGTACCAGCATATATTACGAGTATTAGGAGATGTTATGGTCCGCTGTCTTGAGAAAGACAGTCAACGTTGACTTGACCTGAATGGTGATCTACTACCTCGTGCACGTAAGTTTGAAACTTCAGTTTCTAGCTTTCCCATCTTATTTGCCAATGCCGAAATCACTGATAATATAGGTGGGTACGCAGCAGACGCACCCTGAACTGGTAGCCCATGACTTGTTGATACGTTGTAGATACAGGTGTCAGGCGATAGACCTAGGATTTTGTCTACAAGGTCACTTAGTGCATCTAGGTCAACGGATATGGAGGAGATAGTCAAAACCTGTTGGATATGCTGTGGTAGCCGCTACAACCACATTTGTCGTAAGGCCACTTCATTAACCTTGTGTGGGTCAAGTAGTTGACGTATTTTTTCTCTGAGAAGCTGAGATGGCGTCTGTGAGCCTAAATCACATGCAGTGAGTAACTGCTGGATCCGTTTCCCATCAGAAACACTCCTTCTTTGGATCAGAACTGCTTTGAGTCGATCAAATCGGTGGTCTTCAGGAGTGCTGTCGATTAAATCCCTAATGTCTTCGAGATCCTCTGTGGGAAGTGCAGCTAAAACACATCCATACTTTGCAATCTGTGACTTAATACTTTGGCCAGCAAAAGGGGGTCCAATGATGGCGAATCAAATCTGAGGCTCACTGAAACCAGATGGAGGTAGACGCAGGGCGACTATTGCATTGATTGTTGAATCTTGTGTCTCGTCAGTCTCAGGTGCAGCAGGTGGACGGGTGGGTGAAGACATGAGTATTGTGTGAGTATACAAGTACACAGATATATAAATATATGGAAAGTGCAGTGAAAATTAAAATGATTACTAATATAGAGTTTATAAAGCTATAATGCTCCACAAGAGAACAATTGGTATCACCTCAACCCGTCTTATTCTACTGCCCATTCTGCCTTGTTTCACTCTTCTGACTACTCTCCCCATTAATTTAGTTAATTTGTGTATTTTTATTTCCCAATTATTTTTATTTATTCCTAATTTATAAATTTCTTTAAGTATCAGCTTTTATGTTTATCTTTTTTAATTCTTATAATATGCACTTATTGCATCTGTCATAATTATATCCCTTTTCGATCACAACGGATAACTAATGGTTAAAAGGGTCAGCTGCATTTACAACAGCAACACGATCTTAACACACTGCATACTGCAAACCACTTCTAACCAGACCTCTCATCACTCCCTTCGGAGTCAATCAAAGCCATGACGATCGAGTAGCGAAACGTACTTCACGGAAGTTCACCTAAGATCAGGAATCTTTATCTTAGAACCAGGAAGTGTGTACACATTAATCAACTTACTCAACATTAGCACGTAAAAGCGATATTGGATGTTGGCGCAATATACAAACTTGTCTTCTACGGAGGTTCTTTGTTTGAGATTTTAAAACACGGGGATGTGAAATGCCTGACGTTTTAACTTCGGTCTCAACTTCTCATGATTGTTCTGCGGAACGGAAACCGGAGAAGAAAAGTTCGTTACTTTCGTTCCGGAATATCTGTCATTTATGTTTTTTCCTGATAATAACCATAAAGTTATATGGCGAATATTTTAAAAGTAAAAGAAGTCATTTCAGATAATTGTTGTGCTTAGATGTTGTTCTAGCCTTTTGGGTGTGCATTTCAGTCATTTTCATGGGATCTCAAACACAAAGAAGTAATTTCAATATCTCTCAGCCAGCACTCGAGGTCTTTGTGGCAGTCTATGCTCTTAAGGAAATAGCCTTCGGTGCTTAGAATGCTCCAAAGTTTCTTCGAGCCTATGTTGGCTGAGGCTAGAATTAATATTGTCATCATTGTTTTAGGTTTCTCTGATTCTTCATATCGTAAGATATGCTTTCTTTACTCACTCATATCACTTTCACACGTGATACTAGTACAATACTCTTTATGGCATCAGGGTTTATACGATATGTAAGCTTACCTATTCTTGATTGTGGTATTTAGTCTTTTAGCTCAAACCTCCAGCTCATTTTCAAGCTTATCCCTAGTTCTTTGGTGTGCATTAATATGCGACTGCTCAATGAAATTACTGCTGGTTTTTATCAAAAGCACTGCTCTATTTTTCTTGTCTAGAACAGTTGATTGCTACACAATGGTAAGTAAGGTGTATCTTTCGTTTATTGTTTGTGTGCAATTTTATATCCGACTTTGCTACTTCAGTTATCCCGATGAATGTATTTCGCAAATAGGTTCCAGTTAGTATCTTGGCAAGAGTAAACAATAGACACCAAAGTTAAATGACCCTGATTTGACCAATCAGTTAGCTCAGCATTACAAATGGTTCTATAGTCATAATCCCCTTTGACAGTGTCGCCTAGATTTGGTTTTTGACTTCTCTGTAGATGATGTGTTGATTCAGATTTCAGATTTATTGTTTGAGGATAGAAGGCTTGGAGCCTATGTTAATCCTTTTCTAGTAAACTTCTGTGGTTGTCCAAACCCTTCTTGAACGAATCAACTGAGGTTGCAGACACCACTTCTTCTGGGAGTCGGTTCCAAGAGTTTATGACTCTGTGTGAGAACCAGTACTCAACAGCAATATGATTTCTTCTTGGCTTTTGAACTCTCCTGCTATGTCCTCTCAGGTGTTCCGACCTGGTGGGAAGGAAAAGAGAAAATAGGTCAGGTCCGTAGTCATTATTTAAAATTTTAAACATTGTGATTAAATCTCCTCTCTGCCTACGGTATGACAAGGAGAAGAGATTTAAACTGTCTAGTCTTTCCTCGTATGATAAGTTAGTCATGCCATGAATCATACGTGTTGCTTTCCGTTGAACCTTTTCTAGAATAAGTGAGTCCCCTTTTAGACAAGGGCTGGCGGCCTGGATGCAGTTTTCCAGTCTTGACCTCACCAGAGATGTATATAAGGAGGTAAACATATCTCTGGTGATTCTAGTGAAGGCTCTACGAATTGCCCATAATGACCTGAAACTACGTGCAGCCACCGCGCGACAGTGTGCTGTAGTTTTTAAGTCGTGGCTAACTATGACACCTAAGTCCAAGTAAGTCTGAACTGATGGAAGTGTAATTCCCTCTAGTTCATAAGAGCTCGTGCTTGCTTGTCCAATGCGCATGGTTGCACATTTTGTCACGTTTATCGGGAGCATCCATTCTATGGACCACTCTGACAATTTGTTGAGGTCCTCTTGCAACGTGGACGTGTCACTGTTGCCCTTCAGCTCTCTCCAAATTTTTAAGTCATCTGCGTATAGGACCATAGGGGAATCGGTGAGTAGAGATAACTCATTGATATACAAAATAAATAGGAGAGGTCCAAGTACCGTGCCTTGTGGCACTCCGCTGCGTACTGCTGTCCAAGAGGAGAGTTTCGAGTTGATCCCAACCCTCTGCCTCCTATCTATGAGGAATTCCCTGAGCCAGTTTAGTAAGCTGCCTTTGATACCAAGACTTTCCAACTTCATGAGTAGTCTTTTGTGAGGTACTTTATCAAAGGCTTTGCTGAAGTCTATGAAGACGACGTCAACGGGTCTTCTGTTGTCCCTGGATTTAACCCAGCTTTCTCTTGCAGTGAGAAGATTTGACAGGCATGAGAGGTTCCTTCGGAAGCCATGCTGTGCTCTTGATAATAAGCTTCTGTTTTCTAGATATGCCATTATGCTTTTCTTGATGATTCTCTCCAGTGTCTTAATTAAAGTGCTGGTGAGACTGATAGGCCTGTAATTTGAAGGGCTTTGTCTTGATCCTCCTTTGTGGATGGGGGTTACTATGGCGTCTTTCCAGTCACGCGGTAACACTCCATTTTGGAGAGAAAGCTTGAAGATCGTAGTCAAAGGGCCGGCTATGTGTGCTGATAACTCCTTGAGAAGCCTTGGGTGAAGATTATCAGGACCCATTGATTTCCCTGCATCTAGTTTCCTTAGGCAGTTGAGCACGATGCCTTGGTCGATGTCAACGGAATCTATCCCATGTTCTTCTGATGCAGCCAGAGCTGATCCTATAGGCTGTGACGACTCCTGAGTGAAGACTTGGGAGAAGTAGTTTGCCATTGCTTCTGCTTTTTCTTGATCTTCTTCGATTGTGTCATTGTCGATAGTCAGGTTTGGGACACCATTGGATGTTTTATTCCTGAAATTCATGTACGAGAAAATTTTCTTAGGTTGTGCCTTTGCATTTTGAGCCAGGTGTGCTTCGAATTTCATCCTTGATTTGCGGATTTCTGCAATAGCTTTATTTCTAGCAGTGTTGTATAATTGCCTGGTCTCAGAAGTCTCAAGTGTGGCAAACAAGTTCCAACATTTGTGTTTACGTCTAAGTAACTTACGAATCTCTCGGTTTATCCAAGGAGGGCAGTGTTTCCGACCCTTTGGGACAGACCAAGGGATGAAAGGTTCAGTTACTTGGGCGTAAAGTTGTTTAAATTGGTTCCATGCAGCTTCTACTTGAGACTCTGGGTTGACGTACCAGTTTACTGAGTTGGCTGCTGAGACGATTGCATTTATATCAGCTTTCCAAACGTTTGGTCGAGATGGGGTTTTGGCCCTTGCTGCCGTTGCTGTGAACTTGAAAGTGAGCACAGCATGGTCACTTCTTCCTAAAGGAGGAAGATGTTGTATGAGATCTACATCCTCACCATGGGAGAACACTAGGTCCAGAGTTGAGGAGGAGTGCTGTGAGTCATAGCGCGTGGGCTTGATGATATGTTGGACTAGAGCTAACGATATACTAGATTCCAGCAGTTTATAGTCAAAGGAGTTGACTGAGGATGGAGTTGTTAGGCTCGTCCAGTCAACTGTTGGGGCATTGAAGTCGCCAACTACGAGACTTCGACATTTCGAGGTCCAGGAGCCTAGCTTCTCTATCAGGAAGTCATCTGCACTGCAGTTAGGACTGCGGTACATAGCAATGAGGTCAATGTCTTGGCCTTTACATTTAAGTCTGCAGCGTAGAAGTTCGCACGACTCACTTTCGTGAGCGAGTGCTTCGATACTACGCACGGTTAAGCATTTCTTGAGGTAAATGACTACGCCACCTCCTTTGCGGTTTAGTCGGTCTACCCTATGCACTTCGAAGTTTGGCAGGTTAACTTCGCTGTCAGTGACATCGGGTGTGAGCCATGTCTCTGTGATAATAATTACATCCGGGTTTCCGGAGTCTATCATGTTAACCAGCTCAGTCCGTTTATTTAACAGGCTGCGGGCGTTTGTGTAGCAAACTGTTAATCCAGTTTGGTGCTTCCCCGGCCTACCCACAGAGGTTTCGGGATCATTAAACTGCGAACTTGAACAACCCAAAAACCCTTAATCTTAAGGTTCTTTTCGCCGTTTCGGCGTCGTTCGCTTAATTCTAGGGCCGCAGACTGTCTTTTGATACGGTCTGCCAGGCTTAAGTCGGCGCGGACATATATGCCTGATCCTTTAAGTATATGAGAGTTGCTTAGAATAGCATCCCTCTCTTCCTTAGAGTTTAGTACGACTTTGAGGAGACGTACAGGCTGACTTACTGTAGGGTCAGGCTTTTGGCCTATTCTATATACACTGTGTATAGTGACGCCTGATACTGTTTGTGGCAGTAGCTTGTCTAAAAGGGGCTTAACCAAGTTAAGGTCATGCTCAAATCTAGTCTTGGGTTCGGGGGCCAATGACTCTTCCACTTTGTGGAGAATGAGCGACCTGTCAGAGAGATCAGGTTTGCTTGCCGTGGTTGTCTTGCTCTGCGGCGTGAATGTCTTCCTTTCCTTCGTGGGCAGTGTGGCCAATGTATTGTCCTTGTCTCGCTTTTTGCGAGAGACTACGTTACGCCATTCATTGGCGTTCTCTTCACTAGTCGTAGCAGGATTTATCTGCCTGCTACTCACCGGTGTGGACGAGGCTTGATCCACTAGTACCTGGGTGACTTGAGTTGCAGGTTTACGACCCCTGGTACGCCTCTTCTTTGTGGCAGTCTTTCCGTTACTGTCACTGGAGGGCTTATCCAGTATCGTGGGGGCAGCCTGGGTGACTGGAATGTGGTGAGTGCTCTTCTGTGCTGAAGGGCACTCAGTCATTGACAAAGACTCATTAGGAACATGTACTGTTCTGTCGATGACGCTAGTCGCATCTTCGGTGTCTGAGAAGCAGTTAGTCTTCTCCTGTGATGGATGACCCTCGCAGTCCATGAGCTTTAAAGCCCCGCTAAGAGTGGCAATGGCTTCTGTAATACGGAGTTTGGTAGTACTACAACAGTCATTGCACAACCAGTTTTCTAGAGGTTTACAGCAGCGTTTGTATGCTGCAGGAGTTAGGTTTGTGCACATACTGTGAAACCATCTCTTGCAGTTATCACACTGCATTCCCTCATCCACTGGGAATTGGCACATAACCCTTCCACAGCGGTTTTTTTTGATGGGCATACTGTCTAGAACAGACTGGCGAAGAAATTTAAATGTAAATTAGATGTATATAGACCTTTATAAGTCAGCGATAAAAATCAATGAGTGCACAAAAATATATATATAGCTATTATGTTATAGAAATAACAATTTCCTATAATTTAAATAGACTCAGATCTGAAAAGTAAACTAACTTTGATCAGAATAAACTGATTTAAAGTTAATCTGTAGACTTTTGGAGCGTATAACACAACAAAAGTCAAAACTAAACAAGAGCGTGTAAAATTCACTCCCTTTTCAAAGTTCGCGCGGTAGCGAGATTCGGGAGGAATAAAACATGCATGTGTGGAGGGATAATAACTCTGGAAAAGTATTGCCGGGCTATTGATGGTTATACATTCAGATGCAACCACTTTATATGAGGAAGTCTGTATAAGTTGGTAAGTCGTACATAACTGCCGATTTTTTAGACACTTTCTACTCGAAATCAAAGCTCTCCCTTAGTAATATATTGCGTATATGCAACCATAATCTGCTACAGCTGGGGAAATAGAGAATACATTAGTTTGATATGTCTATAACCACTTCTATGAGAATCTGGAACCAGTTTTCGCAGCATATTACAGATATATACCCTATATGATTCATTTTTATTACATATATCGTTAGATACACTTCTTTGTAAATTAAGTACCACTTTTCACCTCGAAGAATCTGAAGTTGGTGTCTATACTTTACTGTTGCCAGTATCTTATTTCTGACTAAGATAAAAAGTCATATCATATCTTCAGAATTCTTACTACTTTTTCTGCATTATTACGTTTATTAGGACCAAGGTCCGGAATTATTATTATTATTGTTCCCTTGGGTTCCTAGTGGAACATAAGGCTTCAACTACACGTCTCTACTTGCTTCTGTCTTCTGCTGTACTTTTCACTTACATCCATGTTAGTCCATGCTGTTTCAATTCCTCTTCACGCGATCTCCTCCATGTTACCCTTGGACGTCCCACTCGCCGCTTCCCTTTCGGGTTCCACTCGAGCACTGGCCTGACGCGCGATGTCACCCAGCGGCCTCCTCAGCGAGTGTCCAATCCATCTCCACTTTCTCCTGCATACTTATTGGGCGATTGGTTCTTGTTTCGTTTGTCCCCATAGTTTCTTGTTGGTGATTCTTTCCCCAAGGTCCGGAACGATAAAACTAACTCATATAGGGAACCAACGTCTATTTTTTGTCAAAAGTTTGATCTGAAAGACAACTGGACCTCATTCCACTCATGATAGTTAAGGGAAACAGATTTTCAGACCATTTTAGAATCTTTGAGTTCATGTGTAAAACCCGAGATTAACTACTTTCGTAAATAGACAGTCCAAATGCTGTAATCTGGTCACCAGTGCCCTTTCATTTTCCTAGAAGTACTCATGACGTGATGGTAGTGAATAAAGCACTTATTTCAAGGGCTGCAAACATTTGTGCATATAAAGAAGTTGATTCTACTCAACATTAAATTTTAAAAAAGTATTCATGAGTGTTTCGCAGTTCAATATAAAAATAGTAAGAGATGTTCTATACCACGTTATGTTAACATCATCACAACCACATGCATCAGGGATGTTTTTAATTTTGATGATTGCCACATTATCCTCATTATACATGCTGTCTTCAGACGAAGGGTTTCAGTTTCCAATTTAATTGACGTCTATATTGTTTGCTACGGAAAGGATTTATCCTCAGAACTACGTACTAGAATATTTGTGGTCCTATATCAGTGCAGTTGCATCCATATCGAATCGCATACAAATTCATGACATAATTAATTATTGTGATGCACAACGCTTATTCTGCAAGTTAGCAGTTCTCACTGCACGGTCTCATCTGATCATGTTAAGCAAAGAACCGTAGGTCTTGTTTGCTCCAATGTTTGCTATTTCAGTGAAAATCCACTGTAAGTATGCACATCAAACTACTCGGATGTATTCAGGGAAGTTTGGGTAAGTCTTTCAGCTTATATAACACCACAGTTAGGACATATTTCAGCCTGTTACATGCATTAGCGACATCGGTGTACTTGGTAGAAACTAATTTTGCCGAACATTGTGTTTCGTTTCCAAAGTCATACTGGAAGGTGAATTCTGTGACTTTATGGGCAGAATTTGTCAACAGATTAGTGATATAGTCATGTTGTCGCTTTTTAAATTCCTCTGGAATTAACACCTAGTTACTGGTTTTTGATAAGGTTTGATAAACCTCCGGCATTTCAACATCACGCACTGTTTTACTAGATTTACGTAGGTAATAGAGATGAAAATGTTCAGTTGTATAAACGTATTCTGTGCCATACAATTTCTTATCTGTGTACGTCTATGTTCGTTACTTCCATAGTGGTCGTGATTCGACGTGTATATATGTATGACGATACATGTACAAATGTGTCTTTCGGAAATAAAAGGTAGTTATTTTGATTGGACACTAGTAACTAGTGTGATGTATCTAGTCCTTTGTTTGGTGCAGACTGAATTCTATCAGTCAGGTTTGCAATGTGGCCACCATTCTAGGTAGCTTGCCATCACGGTGTACGTTGATTTGATGATATTAGATGGTTGGAGGTAATCGGCAAGATGGCGAGCTACCTAGAATGGCGGCCACATTGCAAACTTGACTGTTAGAATTCAGTCTGCACCAAACAAAGGACTAGACACATCGCACTAGTTACTAGTGTCCAATCAAAGTATCCAATACAGTCCTACAGGAGGTCAATCGCGAGCCCGGATAGCTCAGTGGTAACGTCTCTAACTGCAGGCAGCACTGGTTGAAGCGGGTTCGAATCTCAGAAGGGACATGAGTTCCTTCCTTCAAGGTTGCAGATACGCCTTGCTGACGGGTGCCAGCTAGCACGAAACCTAGGTCCAAGGCTTCCTGTGGCCGATTGGCTCCAACCATCTAATATCATCAAAAGGTAGTTATGTTTGTAACAGCCAACATTTTTTCTACGTTGGTAGAAATGTTTCGCAAACATGTGCTGTTAAATGTAATGTCTTAGCTCCTGAACATGTTCTGTTCATCACTAATTGAGCGTCTGTTTACCACAGTACACTTCCAATATCCATGTAATTTACAGTTTGCGTTTATTGACTTCACTTGCATGCGTTTTAGCTTTCCTTTTTAAGTTTTTATTTTAATTACACGCCAAACTTTTATATACATGCTGTAAATCGTTTACATGGAAATTTTCTTTTTCTTTTTATTCTCAGGGTTCATTTTTGAGTATGCTAGAGCATATATTTCTACTTTTGAGACATATACCCTCTGGAATACTTTGGATATATTTTTTAATGGAATTTAATTGGAAATATCAAGGCGTGTTGGCTGGAAGAATCTTTGTCTGCTGTTTGTATTGTATTTTAAAAGTATGTATTGTTTTAATGCTACAGTTGATTCGTGTCACATGAATATCATATTCCAGTGTATTGTATGAGATCATATAAATATTTAGGTTTTGTTCACTTACAATCTCCAATGGACAAAGTTAGACTATAAGCACCACTGACTACTAATCGGTGAATGACCCTGAATGCACCAATCATATGAAGGATACGTTTTTGGATATTTAATATACATTTATGAAAAAATGCGTAGAAACTGCATAAAACTGTTACATAGTTTACCTTTTTCTGACATGTGATAAAAGACATCCCAGTTTAGCATTGGAATATCAATATTCTGTACATATGTAACAACAGAAGACAAGGGCCAGGAAAATCAACACATATTTATAGATTTTAATGTACATTATTGTAGACTACTGTTACTTACTTACTTTACTTCGGCTATCTCCTACGGGAGGATGAGCAGGCTTCATGAACATCTCGAATAAGAGAGTTCATGAAGTTTCATGGGAATTTGGTACGAGTGATGTCCCCAGAATCGCTCGGCCTTTTGTTTGAGAGTGCAGCTCTAGCCTTAACACAACCAAGTGTGACCTACAAGGCAGTAGGAGTGGAGTAGGGAGTCCACTATCCATTGGCAGCCGGTGACCGGAGTTCGGTTCATACGCCTTTTTGAATGGGGCCAGACATCCAGGACATTCAACAAGCCTTTTGTCCATACGTCTGCCGGTGAGCTCCAGTAAGCTTCATACGCCAGTCGTTGGAGGTTTGGAATCAGGGTTTAGCCATCTCCCCTAGACTGTCATCCAATGGACAGTCAACCCGGTGAAGAGCGCCGGGCATCCGCTTTCGCCCTCTCATTTTGGTGAAAAAACACCTCCACTACGTGAAGGCAGTGAGTAGGACTTCCTCAGGAGAGGCTATGTAAGACTCCCGGTCATATGGGAGCATTTGTTAGTAGAAAATGCAGTCTTTTGATTGGTTGTTTCTCACAGAAAGTTAACCTTGCATCTCTTTGTGGCTGTGTCAGATCATCCATATGCTAACTGTATCCGCCTACGCAAAGCCTTTGTTCTCATAAACAATGACGTCAATTACTGTCTACCGACTTTGGCTAGCAGCCAGCTCTCACCACACATATATTCATCCAGATGACTATAAATGACATCGCTTTGAGATCCAGTAATGGCTCTAATCCTGCTTTTTAACCTTCTTCAAGAGCCTTCGATAGGATTGGTGTGGGTCCCTGTAATGGGATCCACAAAATCGTTAGAATGGTTGACTCTGTAGTGATAATATCCAAGGGATGACAAGCTTTCCACTCATCAGTGTGTATTATAGATCCTTGTTTCACCAGTCGAGTAATAATAGGTATCAAAGTACTTGACTTTCTATCTACTATCCTCTCGACGAATCCTTTCCGTAGAGAGGTATTATATAAACCAATCACCCAAACATTATTCACTCGTTCTCGACCACGGTTGTATTTTTTCTTCAATACATGTATGACGATACCTTCTCCTCCCAATAAGGAAGTAAGCCTATCCATTTTCCAGGATGTGATATCCCTGCAGTGCTGGTACCACTGAACTGTTGATATGAGACTATTTTCAGTTTCAGCAGCTGCACCTCTCACAGGCTGCTTTAAAACCCAGTAATTACAAATATGCGAAATGTGGGTTAAGGAAAGACGGGATCTGGCAAAAAATATTCATACGAAATATTAGAATCATCAGCTTACCTTCCCTGACACTAACTCGTCTCAAACAAATCGCACAACGATGCACATGTCGATCAATCAACCTGCTGAAGCTTTTTATACTCATGATACCTCCACATGAACAAATCATTTCCTTCCCAAGTGACACCACATCCAAGCAATACTGGAAAACCTTATCCTCACGAAACTGCAAGCGTAACTGCGGTAGAGCAGGTATTTGACTCAAATCAAGCGGAATAGAACCTTCATTGGAACATTCAGGGTCATTCGCTGATTGGTAGTTAGTGAAGAATAAAGTTTAACTTGACCCTCCGACAATATAATTTTGTTGTTCATTCTCATTTCATAAGCTTTTACTATCTCATTATTTCTTTACCCTGAATGTCCACTTTTCTGTATGATAACTGTGCATATATAAATAGTAACAACTGTAGGCTGAGAGTTGTGCTTTCCACCCTTAATTGTTAGATGCTAGTCATCTGTACAAGTTTCAGTTGACTATTTTATTTCAACACTCAATGAAAAAAATCACTGTTTAAGAATAAGTTTTAGTATTTGACCACCCTCCCCCCACCCCCAATATGTCATAGACAAACATGGAAACAAACATTGTTTTGTAAATCAGGTGAATGTTTCTATTGTTGTATTCTTTCAACTGGATGGTTTCATTGCATAGCTTTCATTACCATTTAAAAAACCAGTATTGTTGGTTCCAATAATGATAATAATTTGCTTTATTCCAAAACAGTACTTGTGATACAGTATGGAATTCTCAGCATTTTTACTGCAGTATTGCATCCAGTTAGTACATTATCAATAAATATGATTCTACATAGATTAAGGGAATCTCAGTTCATTATGACAACAACATATTGGCATGTCAGTAGCAAAGCCAAAGTTGAACAGTGTTTGAAGGTGTTAGAAAAGTAGGTGCTATCATATTTACTGGCGTAAGCGGAAGAAAGGAACAAGGCAGCACATAACGGGAAAAGAGAGAGGGAGAGAAAAGGAAAAGAAAGAAAATGTTGTATCTATAAATGATATGAGTTGGAAAGACGAGGTCCAGGTGTTCTACTGGCTATTAAATGAATTATAGGTGTCACGCCTAATGCTTTCTTTATCGCACAGAACACGAGCTAAGTAGGGTATGGTTGAGTTTTTGTACTTGCTAGTGCGAGCATATAGTTTTCTATATAGGTTTCTGGTTTTGCCTGATGAGATGCAAGGGGAGAGTTGTGAATGAAGAGGGTGGTGTGAGTTAGATAAAATAGATTTAGCCCATTTTTCACATGAGTCCATGTGCCTGTCAACCAGAATATTAACAAGCTGGTTAAGTGGCACGTTGCTTACCCTGCTGACAACCTTTAACATCCTGCGTAATAAGGTATAGTCTTTCTTCAGTAGCCCGGGAAAAACTAAGGGGGAACAATAGAGAATAATAGGCAGGATGCAAGAGTTAATGAATCGTAAGAGTAAGGGTTGGGTTATTCCAGAATATCTTAACTTCTTGATGTAGAAGGTAAGACGGAATATTTTCTTAGAAATCATCAAGATATGAGACGACCAGGAGAGATCAGCAGATAGAATGACGCCTAGGTATTTAATTTCCGACTTGGTTTCTATTTCAGTGCCATCTATGTTGCACACCTCGTGAGAGCTAATCAGTTTGTTTAGGTCAGATTTATGCCTAAAGGTGAAATCGACTGTTTGGCATTTGGAGGGGTTTAAGGTAAGACCGTTTTCCTTGGACCACTGGCTGATCTCTGTCAGAAACCATTAAGTTTAGAGCAGTCACTTTGACATTTGACAGGCAAAGATACAGTCAGGTCGTCAGCATATTTGACAAAATTGATGTCATTTGAGGATGGTAATTCACGTAGAAAGAAAGAAAAGAGAAGTGAGGAGAGTCAGCACTTGGGGACACCAGCTTCAGTGAGCACACACAATTTGTATACGGTGTACTGCATTCTGTTAAGAAGTAGAACAAGTGACCCAGGACTCAGATTGTGTCATAGAGAGCTTATTTAGCAAGAGACATCTAGGTACAGGGTCGAAAGCAGTAGTGAAGTCGAGAAGCGTGCAGCGTACGTATTTGGCACCTTTATCTAATGATGAGACAATACTGTTGTGTAAGACGGCTGCAGCGTCTAAAGAGATCCTATCCTGTCTATAGGCAAATTGTTTTAGGTCTTCAAAGCTTTTAAGGGAGGGTTTAAGTTTCAGAAGTATTTGTAAAAAAGTGAACTTTCAAGACAGTTCAGAGGAAAAAAGCTAGCCCCACTTGTTGTGGTATTTCTGACTGTTATTCGTTAATTTCAGAAGTTTTATTAACACCATGTTCATCTGTATTCCGGCAAATCATTATGGCAACGTTGTGTTCAGTGTTGATTGAGACTAACTCACTAATATCCCAATTGAATGCGGTGATATCTAAACCTCTAAGGAAAATCAATCACTCTTTTATAGTCATTTGTGAGGAAGCCACTTTTTAATGAAGTTGGCACTGACAGCGTCCAGAACAGTGATGAAACCCTCCAGCTCTGAGAATATAATATCACGAGAAGTAAGCATTCTGGATGGAATCTTGCATAGAAGAATATTAATTCAAGTTATTATATGTCTGAGAAACCGAGATAAATCTTTGTACACAGGTGTATTACTGTACAAGACGTTATTGACTCAGTGTCCAACATGCATTGGTCCAAGTTGTTTTTATTTCTGTCGGTGGTCACTGTTAGAAGTGAACTGTTAAAAGTAGCCCCAAAGCTCCTTTGTCTAAGCAGCTGATTATTTGACAGCTGAAATGTTTAGTCGTATGTTGAAATCCAAAGCTGCTAATGCTAATGGAGTGAGCTACTGACAAGATTTATCAGTAGTATATGAAGACACGTTCATTGGCACAAAAATATCAAACAGCGGAGAGATAGAATTGACGTTAAAGAGAAGAGATGAGCCAGTAATTGAGGCGAAGCATGGGTGACACAAAAGCAAGACAAAGAAACACAATACGAAGGAAGGGTAGAAGTAGCAAAGTAGCTAGTAGATCTGTGCAAATGACGATTTTTAAGTAAGGTGTGTGTAATTTCGCTATACAGAGATACCAAATAGCAAATAAACATTCCCTTACCAAATTTCTTGTCTTCTCTCCCTACACCACCATCACTTAACCATCTGTCTTCACGTTATGTGCAGCAAACAACCTCTTATCGATATAACTTGATGTCGTTGTAGTAGTAAATAAGAGCGAGCATTACATTGAAGTAATATCTGTTGCTTTTACACAAGATGGTATGTAGTTAAGATTTTATTTTGATAAGTCACAGAGTGGAGTGTTATACAGTAATATTAACTGATGACCACCTTTTGAGCACAAATTATTACTGCTCATAATCATATCAAGTCACTCACTCACACAACTTCCTTGCTTCATTTATATACATGAGTAAAAGCTGATTAGACATTTGAATAAAAATCAATATAGGATAATGTACATTCATACGCTCATGGAACCAATCAGATTACTTATCTTCTCGGAGTAATTTAGAAAAAAGCTCAGCACCACATTGCACTACATGCATTAACATACAACCACACAATAGGGTGGGAGAGGGTTAAAATTCTAAGAAGTAATATAGGTAGGTGGGTGGAGGGAGAGATTGATTACTTAGTGAATCCTGGTTCATCGAGTTCACACCCAACACTTGCGCAATAGAAGTGACTCAATGCAAATACCAGAAATATGGAAGATATTATTACCACCAGTCAGTCAAATCAGAGGAGGATAATAAATAATCTTAAAATTCTATTTCAATTCACGTACATCACAACATTCTAACAAGTTACTTATTTTGACTACAAAAGCACTCGTCTTATTTCCCATCTGATTGTATTTGATTGATAACACTCATATTATTTTATTATTTCTGAATGTACTTTGTCTTATATTGATTTTTATTCAAATGTCTAATCATCAATTTCATTCATGTATATAAATGAAGCAAAAAAGTTGTGTGAGTAACTTGATATGATTATGAGCATTCATAATTTGTGCTCAAAAGGTGGTCTTCAGTTAATATTACTGTATAACAACACTGTTTGACATTATCAAAATAAAATTTTATCCATAATGGAGTTATACTCTACCACAGTGCCCAAGTTTTATACTTATATGGTATGCAATTATTCATCAGTATAATTTCTTCTATTATGTAATCAATATACAACCTTTGAAAGTGGTTGACGTAAAAGCTACATGTATTTGACTCCCAGTGACTTCATAGTATAACATATGTGTGTCACTGTTAGATAATAATGTCTGATTACAAATCAATCTTCCTTCTCTTTTTACACTACTCTGCTTTATCGAGTATATCTAGCTAGATCCATTCGATTGTTTGAATAGGTCTTAGTAGGCAACTGTTGAACGAGCAAAGTGATTACTTATTATTGAATTCATTTCTGCCCAGTTAGTTATATTCATGTATCTGTGTGAGCTGTTGTTGATTGCTTCTGCTGTGTATTATTATGCTTTTTTGTAATACCTAGGTTTACTTGACTCTGTCAGGAGTAGCAAAGCTATAATGGATGACAATTAAAATAACTTAAATATACTGGATACAATAAAATAGCGTCTAAATAAGTGCATTCTTTTTGTCTATTCTTTTATCTTTTAGATCTGTGTTGTTTTCTACGCGTGTAAAGATGCTCTTCAATTTTTCCGTTCTACAGTAAACGCTAAGGTAAGATTTCTGTTTCATGTAGCGTATACATTTAGTTTTAAATGTGTGAAATTTTCCCATATCATGAATGGAAAAGTTGGTATTGACCAAAAAACGCCATAGCGAAAGAAGACAAAACTAAAAATCTAATAATTCCCATTGTATATTCGGAGAAGAGGCTCTTAACAAGAAATATTCTATGGGGTGTAAACGCGATAGCGAAGGAAGATAAAACTAAAAATCTAATAATTCCCATTGTATATTCAGAGAAGAGACTCACTTCAACAACGAATTTATTATCAAGCTGTACAATCGTGTATACATATGGTTTTCAAGAAATTATATCCGATGAGGGCACTCAGTCAAAGGTATAAATACATGAAATAGTAATATGAAATGCGATTAAAATATTTGTGATTATAATCATAGTTAAGTGTTAAGTAGCAAAACAATCAATGTCATATATAGAATAATACATAAGGTGTATAGATGTTGGGAAGGGGTGTACAATTACAGTTCGCCTGCTCCTCTTGTGAAGTAAGTTACATTGGCTGTAGCCAGAGAACGCCACTTTCCACATAAATACGAGAACATGTTCCAGCTGCATGGTTTTACAAGGAAAGAAGGAAGGGTGTGCGAAGCTCTATTCTAGAAAACACTTGATCGACTTCTGTCACTCTACCAACCCTGACCATGATTTTAAGATCATCTATCGAATCTATGCTAACTAACTTGCCGCGTTCTCTTCGTTACAAACTTGTAAAGACAGCAAAGGCCTTGGTCATTCATGAATTTAAGCCAGCCAGACCTTTGTGTACAATCCCTACTTCTGCCTTGGCCATAGAAGGATAGACATATATTTATTTATTTAAATTATTTGGTTATTCTATGTACCTTTTCCTAACTTTGAGTTATTTCCGCTTCTCCCACTTGTCATTCTAAATCCAAAAAGCATTTTTTTACAATATTGAATTCTATCTTATCAAATTTAACACACTATGTTATATAACATTTTATATTCGCCTACTAATCCTATAATTATGTACCCCTTTCCAACATCTATACACCTTATGAATTATTCTATATGTGACATTGATTGTTTTGCTACTTGACATTTAACTATGATTATAATCACAAATATTTTAATTTTAATTGCATTTCATACTACTATTATTATTATTTCATGTATTCACACGTTTGATCTAGTTCCCTTAGCGGATATAATTTCTTAAAAGCCATATATATACGATTGTACAGCTTGATAATAAATTCGTTGTTGAAGCGAGTCTCTTCTTTGAATATTGTGTTCTCAAAACTGAATTCATCTACACGATAAATTGCAACAACTGAGGAAAATATCATGTTGGACAAAGTAGGCGCCCTGCTCATTGACGATCGTAGACTGACTGTCGAAAGACATCATATCCACCCCCCTCCTTCATATCACTGCATGCAGACAACCGCGGGCACCGATTTCGACTAGGAAAATGTAAAAATCTTTTCCCAAAGGAAACACCAAAAGTGCTCAGGAATTTCTGGAAGCTTTGTGCCCAGACGAATCTGCAATGCACATACACTGACATAAATGAAATTTATCAATGAATAAAAAACGAGGTTACATAGATAAAAGATAAACTTTCAGGTCAACAGAATAATCAATACCAATACCAGTAGATGCAGAGGTTAAGAAAATCTCCAGAAAAATCCAGTCAATTCAAGGTTACTAGAAGAGATGGCTGATAAGCTCATGGAATATTTTAAAAGCTTATTTGAAATCGAAGTTTGTGCTGAATATGCTGTCTAGGAAGACAGCCGAAGCTTCGCAACCAAACCATCAAATTCAGAGAACAAAACTGCACCAATAGGAATAGTTCTCGTTCAGAGTTAAGTCTAATTCTCTACATTGGAATTTCAGCTATTGTTGCTTATAACGTGTTGTATGCAATTTTTTGTCAAAGTAACGAAGTCATACATCAGTAATAGTGGCCATTATATTGATCAATCATAATGTAATATTATTAGGCTGGTATTCTTCTGCATTTTTGTACAGTTTTTCTCAAGAGTCCCCTAATCACCGATTCTTAACAGTAGGTAGTTTTTATCCGGCTGCATGGTTCCAGACTAACAGTCTTTGACTTCATGGATAGGCGCCGTGTTTTACTCTGGCTACCCACTAACTCTTCTCCTAGCTAACCTTCTGTCGATATTATTCACCCAGGAAGATGATTGTGTTTGGTATGCTTAACATATTTCATAGACACTCGAGTTGTTGACACTATAACCTCGTCAACCGACTCCCCTTTCCTACCGTAGTGTTTCTTTTGTACAATCAGTGTTGCTTTAAGGTGAGTCGAAAGCGTAGCATTAGATAGAAAACATTTGACTACGCTTACAAGTCTATCCACCAGTAACAGTTCAACTTGGCCTTCAAGCGTCACATGTTATAAATGAGCATTCTGAGGATTTCTGATCCCTATATAAGGTCATGATACTGATTTACTTTCAACTTGTAGTTTTCTGGTGTTATTGTGTTTCTTTATACTCAGGCACTGGGTGCATCGGTGATGTACAGTTATAGAGTTCTCGCCTGTGACCATCTATGTGGTCTGGGCTTCGGTTCTCGGTCGACCTGCGAAGCTCCGGTATTAAACCCGGTAAAGAGAGAAGGTTGGACGTGAGGCTAGCAACTTCATTCCGTAAAAATAAAAAATAAAAAGCCACTGTGTTACAGAAACGTTAAAGCTCAAGTCTGAAGCCTTATGTTCCACTTGAAACTCAAAATAGTAAAATTGTAACAACAGAAGACAAGGGCCAGGCAACAGATCGTTTATTGAGAAAATTAACAGATATTTATAGATTTTCGTTTAAATTATTATTCGTTATTGTTAGCAGAGAAGCAACGTCTTCTGATTGGTTGTTTTCTCGCTGGAAGGCTATTCTGTCATCTACTTGTTGTGGTTTCTTAGACAGTCCGGTGATATATCTGTTAATCGTATCCTCCCACGCTAAGTCTGCTGTGATTGGTTGTTGAGTTCCTGAAGGTTAGAATTTGTTCTTGTTTTTTTCTCATGACCCCGATTTGGGACGTAAACATTGACGTAAATTGCTGTCTAGGAATTTTGCCTTGCAGACAGCTCTCATCACAAATTTACGCAGTCACATTAGGAATGCAGAAAGATTGAGCGAAGAAATATTTACTTTTCAATTAGATCCTCTTCTCTGGCTCTACTCTAATATGTATAGCATTTTTATTACAATACACAACAGTTTACCAAACAATTGGTGATATGTTTTTTAACAATAATTAAACAGTGTCAAAATGTCAATGGATTGATAATTAACGCAGAAAATCAATACACGTTTAAAAAGTAGAAATGGATAGAATAAATTAATTTTACAAGGATAACACGTAATTGAAGATGAAGTGGTCAAAATAAAAATAAAATAATTTGGACAATTATAATTTAATAGGGGAGGGGGGCGACGTAGTCCTGTCTTGTAACGATGGCCACGGTAAGGAAAGTGGCTGCACAAATTTCTTCTGTACACATAGGCTTGGTTTCTTTTGGTGGTTTCCAATTGCTTCAGCTGTCTGTAGAAGACGAACTCGTAGAGCAAAGTTAAGAGTAGTCGGAATGCGATAAATAATTTTAAATGCAGTATTCACATCAACCTTGTGCTCATTATCAACAAGGTGTGCTAAAATAGAACTGCGAATAGATTTTATTTGTCCCTTGCTTAAACACGCTGGATGATGTTCAGAAATACGACGATGAAACTGCCTAATTGTACGCCCAATGTAGCTGGCTCCACAGCTGCAGTCAAACTGGTAGATACACATAGAAGAGGCAAATTTAGGTAGTTTATCCTTAGAATAGGGGTGGTTTTGAAGAGACAACGTACTTCTGCTGCATAATAAGCTCTTTTAACTGCATTCTTCAAGCACTGTGTTATGATTTCGCTGATGTTGTCACCGAGGAACTGCAATTTTATTAACATTGGCTTTTTCGAAACTGTAGCAATACTGGCTCTCCTTGGTACTGAATTCATATTGTTCTCAATAAATTTATCTGGATAACCGTTTTTTCTAAGTAATTCTTTAATAATCCTAAGCTCCTCATTGAGAATGTACATATAGGCTTTTAGTAAAGTGTCTTGCTAACGAAATTTTCATAGTAAGGCAGTTATTCTCTCTCACATTTCCACTTTATACATACATATATATATATGTCTTGGAGTTTGTTACGCAATAATTTTTTCTCATTGTTTTCAGCCGTATACAATCGAATCAAATACCCCATCGAATGAAGTTTGTTATATGTGCCTTGAACTATACAGTATTGTTGGTGTTCTCCCGTGCGGTGTAAGTGCATGCGTTTTCGTTTTTTTTTTTTTTTTGCTTTCTTTCTTTCTTTTACTTCATTTTACTGATCTTTGTTTGTTGCACTGGAATGTTTTAATCCATTCTACAACTGATGTCAGTCATCAGTCACTCAAGTTGTTGAATTAATCGGAGCTTGGATTCAAACCTTGAATGTATTAGTTTAAATCTTTGAATATTCCCTTTAGTAATATTAGAAAAAGACGTGTACACGAACAATATTGTTGTTTTCAATTACATCTTCTTCAGGCTTTACTCTCTAATTTACATAGATTTATTTATAACAATTTTAACCAATGACGGTGATTTTGTGGACCAAATAATAGCGATAATAATGTGGTAATTGTTTTGAACGTCGTTAATAACGATGATTTTAATGATAACAAAATATTATTTAATTGAATTTTAGATTTTCCCGTCGACTGATTGGACAGAAGTGCTCGGTCTCAGGTTGACTTATCGGCTTCTTGTGTAGATGCTTCGACGACGTCTGGGCATCTAGTTAGAATTGAATTGGTGGATGCGCATTTCGTCCTATTTGGGAGTAGTCCACCAACTGGATGTACCGGCATTCCCCAGTGAGTCACTGATGGTGTTCCCACCGAGGCTCAAACCCATTGTTTTGGCGTTTGATACTATGGGCACTGGGTTCGAGCCTCGGTGGGAAAATCTTCTCTCACTGGGGAATGCAGGTACATCCAGTTGGTGGACTAGTCCCAAATAGGACGAAATGCGCGTTATCCTGGATACCACTGCTAGTCACCATCCACCAATTCAATTCTAATAACAAAATATTGATAATAAAGTTTATGCTGTGCCACTACTATGTGTATCTATAAATTTAGTTGCTCCTGTGGAGAAAGCTAGCTAGACAGCTTAACAAACGCATTAATGAGCATCTTCCTTCATGTTTCGGAAAAGGTGAAATAAAATCTATAAGAAGTTCTATTTTGGCTCATTTGATTGATAGCGGTCACCAAGTGGATAGAAGAAGAAGTGCCTTCAAAGTTATCTATCGCATTCCATCGAGCCTTTCGAACGGGATTCGAACCTGTCTTTTACACATAGCCGAAGCTAAGGGAATTAATTCGAGAGAACAATCCTAGTCTTTGCATACAACAAAAGAAGTTTGTTCTACCTTTCTCTCTCCCTTGGCCTAGGTGAATTCTATTCAAAACCCTCCCACCCCTTCTCATGCTCCATTTCCTTTGAACTTTTATGATATTTATTTAAATTCTGATTATCTGTCCACTTCATCTTTGGTATTACGTAACTTTTAAGATTTGACCAAATTTATTTATTTATCGAATTGTCTACATATACACATATCACTCACTACCTTTGTTATTCTTATCGCCACCTTCATAAACTTTATTATGAATATTTTGTTATCATTAAAATCATCGTTATTAATGATGTTCAAAACATTTACCACACTATAATTGTTATTATTTGATCCACAAAATCACCGTCATTGGTTAAACTTGTTACTTATAAATCTATGTAAATTAGAGTAAAGCCTGAAGAAGATCTAGTTGAAAACAACAATATTGTTCGCCTGTTATATGTCTTGTTCTATTAATAGTTTAAAACGAAATGTCTCATAATCTATTGAATCATACATCTCCACAGATGACAGTAAACAGTTTCATCAATGTTTTTTTTCCTCTAATTTTGAATAATCATTAGTATAAATCCATAAGTCCAAATAAAACTCAAGCATGAACGCTTTCGTTTTGTTTATCAATCGATACATTCTGTTAATAATGTATGTTATCACCTGTTAGTCATCGAGTAGGATATCACACACGCACACACACAAACATACTTACATACATGTATACATCCAGTGGTTTTTCTTCTATATGTGCTACATTCTTATGCTCAGTTATTTAATTAAGAAGAAATAATTTATAGAGCCTACTATCTGTAATGATTTTCCTGATTACGGGCGGTAGACTCGAAGAATGTGACAGACAGGCAGCAGGCAACGAGGAGACAGGGCATAAAATGGATCCACACAAAGCAACTTGGAGCGCCTGAACTTCGCTGATGATATATATGTCTGATTTTCTGCAAACTAGAAGATATGCAAGTGAAAGGCAACAAGTTGGCAGAAGAAGCATCAAATATAGGAAGGACTTCAGGTGAACATAGAGAAAACAGTGGTGGGTGATGAAGACTCTTGGCCAACAGCAACAATTAGCATAATTGGGAGAAATCTGAAAGAAATAACCTCCTTTACCTACCCACCGACCTGGGAAGTATCGTTTCAACTATAGGCGGACGGAACTGATGAGGATATTAAAGCAAGGATTGGGAAGGCAAGCTTTCATTTCTCTCAATTCTGTGTGGAGGTCAACATGACTGACTAACTCAGCATGAAAATGAAAATAAGAACCGGATTTTCAACTCCTATGTGAAGTCAGTGCTACTTACTACACGTATGGATCAGAAACTTAGCGCCGCATCACGAAGGCCACTTCCAACAAACTACAGACTTTCATCAACATCTGTCTTCGCTCAATACTTCGCTTAAGATCAGATGGCCGGTCAGAAAAGATCAGCAACAGGGATCTCTGGAAGCGAACCAACTCAGCAGGAACCAATTATGCAAGAAATATGCAGGAAGAAATGAAGGTGGATTGGATGGCCATACTCTGAGAAAACCATCAAGTGAGTAACATCACACATCAAGCTCTCTCCTGAGTGGAACCCGAATAGGAGGTGGCGAGTCGGTCATCAGTTGTTAAAAAGGAAATTATGTAATAATATGAATAGTTTGATGATTGAGTTGTACTCAGGATACACATAGAAACAAAGTAGAGAATACGAAATTAAGTAACAGTTCTAAATGAATACAAGAATTATAGGCAATTAAAGAAACTGGCAAACAAACAAAATTAAGTCATCAAAAATCAACAAAGTTGTTACCGTGATAGCAGAAGTGGTTGAGTAATTCTGTTCTGTATGCACAGCTCCGGTTTTTCTATGTGAATGGCCAGAGCTTCAGCGATACAAAGAAGGCGAAACCGTATTGCCTTTGATAGGTTGTTCTTGACTCTGTAGATTATTTTGAAGGAGGCGTTTGTTGAAACGGAATGATCAATGTTAACCAGGTGTTCAATTATCGCACTCCTTATTGCACCACTATTGCCTTTTCGCAATCATGCTGGATAGTGTTCTTGAATCCTCTTGGACAGGGTGCGCGTCGAACGATCGATGTACCTGGCTCCACAACAGCAGGTGAACTGATATATGCACATAGAAGTGGTCAGATGCGGAATCTCGTCCTTGAGGCTTCTGCAGATCAGTGGGCGACTGGAGAACACTATTCTTAGCGTTGCTGCAAAGAATGTTCTTCTCAGAGATGATGTGATCCTTCTCTTGAGAATATCGCTTGCTAAATCTCCCTTGAAATCCAAGTTCATGTAGAGTTTCTTTTTTGGCGCAATTAAAGTTTCATTTCTCCGAATTTTCGGTTTGATATTTTTGTCGATGAATCGTATTGGGTATCCATTTTGGATGAAAATTTCTCTTAGAATATCTAATTCTGTTTCCAGAGCGTCGGGACTGCAGATGCGTCGGATGCGGGTGGCAAGTGATTTAATTAAATTTCGCTTTAATAAATGGGTTTTACTTCATAAAACTATGTTTTCTTTCTCTCTTTTTTTCTTTCGACTATTTATTTTGTCCAGCATAAATTTTGTGCTAAGTGTACATCACGTTGGTGTAATGCATTCACCAGTTGTCCATGTTGTTCCAGTCAAGAGTTACAGACAAATTCAAAATGGCGGGATGGATCAATGGATTTATTCATTCAATTTTATTGATAAAATAAGTGCGCGTATATTAACAGTTGTTAGTTATTTTTTTCTTAAACTTTCTTATTATTTCTATTGATTGAACATTCCTTAGATTTATTCTTTCTATAATAATATGCCAAGGTTTTGTGTGCGTGTGTGTTTGTGGGATGTGGGTGGTTTTATTATGTGGATAACCAACAGATCTTGAGTTCGAATCCCCACTCCACCTACACACGCACGCACATACACACACATCAATCTGTCTGTTTTGTCTTTTTTTCTATTCGTATTTTTATTGGTTGACGTACATTGTCTGTGTGTGTGCATGTGCGTGTACCTGTGTGTGTTTCTTTGTGAGTAACTTTATTCACGTATGTGTGTGAATCCACTTCTAATTGTGTGTGTGTGTGTACGCGTGTTTGTGCGTGTGTGTGTTAATGGCTGTGAGAAATAATTAAATTGTATTTTACCGTTTCTTTTTTTTTATACAGACTTTTTATTAAAATATATATCTCATTTAGTCTTTGTTGTGATGATCAGTCTTTTGTGTTTTGTAGGCAAAAAATAAAAATAAGTCTTCTTCAACTGATGATTCTCTTTATTATTGACACGATATTAGTGTAACAACAGAAGACAAGGGCCAGGCAACAGATCGTTTGCTAAGGAAATTCAACACATATTTATAGATTTTAATGTACATTATTGTAGATTATTCTTAGTAGAAAATACAGTCTTTTGATTGGTTGTTTCTCACAGAAAGTTAACCTTGCATCTCTTTGTGGCTGTGTCAAATCATCCATAAGCTAACTGTATCCGCCTACGCAAAGCCTTTGTTCTCATTTTCTCACCACCAATATTGGGGACATAAACACTGACGTCAATCACTGTCGACCAACTTTGGCTAGCAGCCTCCCGACCGAAAGCTGCTACCTTGACGTGGTGGTCGTGCTTGCATATCGCAATGACCCAACAAGCTACACTGGCTGGAACTTAAGTTCCTGTAGGTCCTACCATGCCAGAAAGGTTGTTTGGATAGCGGTTAGACAAAAAAGCAGCTACCCAATACAATGCCATGACTCAAACAAAATCACAAAATATCATGCCGGATCGGTCGGGGCCCGGATTAACAACGACCGCGCTTCCTGCTGCTGTTTCACAGGGCAGAAGTGATAAATATGCTACTGGGACACAAAATAAAAAAGAACAAACAAAAACAGGCCGTGTGTGACCGGCCTCAAGCAGTTGTCCCCTGGGCTCTGCGGTCACGCAACCAACTTCCACGGTGTGGGCAGCCGGGAAGTAACAATCGCCCTCTCAATCCGAAATGCACGCGAAACCTCTCTAATCCTCGCTCATCTTTGTATGCATCTTCATCTCTATTATCTTGCCTTCCTTCTACCAATGCAACTCCTCTACTTAATGGCTCTTCACTTCCTCTTCACTCTGTGTGCACTGATAACGATGGAAGCCAAAAAGCCACCATCGATAGTCTCCAGCTAGCAGTCAGCTCTCACCACATTAGAAATAGAATATGAATTTATGTCTTTATTCTGCTTCTATGCTTTTCAGTTCTCTTCAGTGTGTGTTTCTTTTAATATCTGTCTATGAGAGAGTGTGGGGGGTGGGGGAGCAGTAGGTTAAGAGGGTTAGCGTAGATTTAGTTAGTGTAGTCTTGAAAGATCTGTGACACGATTTTATCCATCTAATCGATTGATTGACTGACTGGTTTCAACATAGAACTTTGCACCGATGTGCAGTATATTCGAGTCGCCACACTCCCTCCTTGTAGCACACAAAGCAAGAGAAGAAGAAAGTAAAAAGAAATGCACAACACAGACAGTAAACAGAGATATGAAACAAAAGGAATAGTAGTAACGAATAATAATATAGTTTCACTAGGTATTGTAAGTCACAAGAAGTGGATGCATCTACGACAGCCATTGAGAACGACGATTTTGAGCCATATCACCAACTGGCTCCAGCCTTCATTGGTTTTTACCGTCTTGAGAACCCAAACCAGGATGTCTACACCTTCCTAAGTGGTTCAAACTAACTGTTGGGGATTTCATTGACTGATGAAGTCATGTTTCGGTATGACCACCACTAGCTAGCTTTTCTCCAACCTGATCCATTTTATGTCAGTTGATGCTGACCGTCTTTGAAGACGATGACTAGGCATGACTAACACATATCCTAACCCTCTCAACGGTTGTAACTTCACAAACTCGTTGATCGACTTCCTCTCCTTACCTTGTACTCGACTGAGGTGTAACCTGAATATTGCTCACCCTATTATACCACTTGACACACATGGGAGATAGAACACAGGCACCTATGATCAAAGACAGGTAGCTAGTCTTTTTTTTGTGTCTTCCACTCTCAATGGCCATGTCTCGCTCACAGCCATAGAGGAGGACGGAGCGGACTGCTGTGGAGTACTTTAAGCGTGTAAACCGTGTGATCAATACTTTTTCGTATGAAATTCCTTATTGAACAATTGTTATAAGGATAAAATTTGAGCAGTGTGGTAGAGTATAACTCCATTATGGATAAAATTTTATTTCGATAATAATAACTGATGACCACGTCTCGAGCACATATTATGACTGCTCATAATCATGTCAAGGTATTGCTCATACAACTTTTTTTGTACTTCATTTATATACATGAGTAAAAATGGATTCGAAATTTGAATAAAATCAATTAAGGAAATTATTTTAGGAATTCAGTTATGCCTCACATCTACTATCTTTAAATTCCAAGACGAAATGTGTAGACAAACAGATGGTGTAGCAATGGGATGGATCACCATTATCCCCTATCGTAGCAGATATCTTTATGGACAGCTGGGAAAATATTGCTCTTAACACATTTAATCCTACTCCAAAAATATGGTGGAGATATATGGATGACGCTTCCGCAGTGTTGAAAACAGAACATATCTCTACCTTCTTGATATATATGAACTCCCTAGTAAAGGGAATAAAAGAAAATGAACAAAGAGCTATGGTGTTAGATTGTAAAATAAAACGAATAGAAGAAGGTAAACTGCACACTAGCGACGTTTATAAAAAGTCAACGCATTCTAATAGATATTTAGACTTTAATTCATCTCATCCGTTATCTGTCTGTAAGTGAAGGCAAGCAATAGCACAAGAAAAGACCTAAATGATGAGATGAAAGAGATAGAAGAGGCATTGGTGTTGAATAACTATCCTATAAAATTCATTAGGAAGATTAGAAAAGGCCAAAAGCAAAATAAAAATAATGGGGAAACTAATAATGAAAAAACAAATGAGACAATACGAGGCATATACTGTCATCGCATATAAGGAGGGAGGGGACATCTGAGACCCTACGTAGGATTCTTAATAAAGCAGGAATTAGGGTGGGATTTAAACGTACAAACTCACTCGCTCAGGCAGGACAAGCTCTGTAGGTTACATGATCCTGTTGGTTGACCCAAAATAATATAATTTACAAAATACCCCGCAATGACTGAGTTGTGGTCAACTACATAGGTCAAACTAGTAGGTCGGGGGTAGTCTTTTTTCTTTGCTTTACATTCCCCAGTGAAACATAAGGGCTCCAAGCTAGAAGCTTCAAGTTTCTGTAGCAATGTTTATGTTCTCTAGTAGACTGGAAATGATATCAAAACTTTCGGTGATAGCGATACTAGTATATAATGAGTTAATATCATTTTTTTTCCCTTCACGTTCCCAATGGAACACAGGGCTTCAAGCTAGAGGCTTGAAGTTCGTGTAGCAGCGTTTAATTTTACAGGATGGGGTTGCTAGCCTCATGCCCAACCTTTCCTTTTTACCAGCATTATCTCTGGCTTTGCGAGGTAAAGGAGTGCGTCGCCCGGAGATCGAACCCCGGACCATGTGCATCGTTGGCGAGCATCCTAATCGCTATGCCACCGACGCACAGTTAATATCATAGCTTACCATAATGTCTTCTTTTTCAATTTCTCGGTGGTCTATTTGGGATTTGAAATCATATGAATTTTTTTTTACAATATTTTGAGTGTCCTTTTGTAGTGGTTGTAGTACCGAGAGTAAGTATTTGGAGAGGGTTATATGATGGTGAGTTGGTGAAATCTATTACTAGTCTTAGTGGAACTGTGGGTTTATGTATCTTTGGTTGACCGTAGAATCTTGAAGGTACAATAACTGTTAAAAGTGAACTTGGTTTGGACATATATAATATGTAAGAACATTTATTTTTAATACGTTATGGAGTTCAGGGTAGGCAAATATTATTACCTGAAGTTCTTGTGTATATAGTTAGAATTCAGGATGCGCGTGAATAATCCGAAGTACTTCAATCACCTTTGATAACCTCAAATTAGAATTTTGCGAAATAATTGAGAAGCAATTACTAATATCGATTATTATGGCCATATATTAATAAATATATCTCACTCAACGATATTGGACTTATAATAAGATTAAGTGTAAAAGAGAAGATTTGTAGCTCAGGTGGATGATTTGCAATTAATAGTGTTCTCTGAGCTGATTGGTTTAGTTGTGGAGCTTTTGTCGTCCCCCTGCTGGACAACATCCCCGTCAGCACAATATTTAGCATAAAGTGAAATGATTTAAATTTCTTCATGAGTGATATAATCGCGTCTCCTGGTAACCATCTGTATTACATATGTATTGACCATTTTCTATTGACTTGGATTTTAAACTTTCTGGTCACCTGATTTACTTCTTATTAGTTGGTATATTTCGTCTATATTAACGTGCTTGTTAATCGCTGGCTGATTCGTTTGAGTACCGGGCTTCTAGGAATTCCCTGGCACTTTTGGTGTTTCCTCTGTCTAAGATTTTGACATTATCCCAATCAAATTGATGACCATAATTGTCTATATGCATTGATACTAAGGAATACATATCGTGTCTTTTCATGGCTGATATGTGTTCTTGAATTCTAATTCGAAGGGGACGCCCACTTTGGCCAATGTAATGCCTGTTGCAGTTCATACAATTATTTATTTTGTAAATGGTATTAATTTTATCTCCTTTTTCTGTTGGATCTTTCGGTTTGCATAATATCGAATTAAGTGATTTGACTGGCTTGTGTGCTATATCTATATCAAACGGTTTCAGTATTCTAGCTGTTATTTCAGAGATATTTTTCATGTATGGTAGAATGAATTTTCTTGTGGTCTTTGATGATGGTTTCTTGTTTGTGTTTTGATTCGACTTTAAACACTTTTTGATGAAATTTTGTGGATAACCATTCTTTTTGAAGACCGTTTGTAGGTACTTTTCTTCCATTCTTTTCAACTCTGGAGTGCTATAATATGTTT